ACATGCATAAAGATTTAATACCATCATATTAATATAATAATTCCTTCCTAGTACAAATAATTGAAAATTAGGTTTTTTTAGCTTCCATCCTATGCTTTTTAAAAGCAAGCTTTGCAACTATTTTCCAAAAGCAATTTTGAACACCTAAACATCAAAATTTTAAAAGCACATGTAAGAGTTACATTCTTTTACTGTGATTGGATGATCACATACTTCCCAATTTCTCTTCTATTAGAGATCCTCTCAGCAGAGTAACAAAAAACAAAGCAGTGGCTATACAACTGATGTAGCAAAAACTCACTTCAGTAACATTGCCAAATATACTGAGTAAAGGTAAAGCTACTTTCTAAAATTTCTAAACATCTAAAGCAAACTTAAAATTACACCCCCAACTGGAGGTACTAGTACCAGTGAGACTTGAAAGAAAGCTTTTTATTAAAATTGTAAAACAACAGACATTTTTTTTAATCCAGAGAAAAGCTTTTAATAGGTGAATGGTCCCAAAACCAATTGTACTCATCTTAAAAAAATAAAAGCCACCTACCCATCTCCTTTAGAGCCATCCAGATAGCCAGTACTCAAGGAACAGTGGTGTGAATCATCCCTTTCACACTTGGATGTTGGGGGTGTGGGATGTTCAAGCATGCTTCATGGACAGCCTACTCATTTGTGATCAAACTTCTCTCATCCCAGCTTTGACCATACAGTCAGTTACAGTGAGAAAACAGTTCTCATAGTAATGAATAATTACTTTAACATTAACAGCGCCTAATACTAACTAGATAGAATCTATTCCAGCTTCTTCCTCAACCCTTTGCTATGCTTCATTACCCTCAGACTTCCCCTCTTCACCTACCCTGCAATTTCCTCTTTCCAATGCACATTGCTCAGGCAGCTTCCAGTCTCTTGTACCTGCCCTAATGCCCAGTTTGTTTCTGACTGTTGGTCAATGATCACACTAATTTAATCAGCAGTTATCCTCCTGTCCTCCCCTACCGTGAGGGTTGCTAAGACAGGAAAAAAAAGATAACTCTCTGCTTCCAGCTGTTCACTGTCCCTTTGCTATGAGGACTCTGAACTCCTTCAGGAACCACCAGAAACAAAGCAAGCCAACACTTGGTGACAGAAGCTGCCACCACTACTTTGACAGGAAGTAAGGATTTGGTCTCTAATAACACTAGGATTTTGAATCTTTGAACTGTATCACAGTCAGTAACAGTGGGCATTGACAGTATTCTCAATTGCCAATTAAAAAAAAAATATGCAAAAGAAGCACATTCACAAGTTCAGTTATAATCTGGAATTTAAATATCACAATATTTTATGCTGTGTACATTAATATTCTCCTTTTGCTATTTTAAACAATTCAGTAAGATTACAGCATGGAGCAATACAAAGTCTCTTAAACCTAAATGCGGCAAAACACTCAGTAACTTCTTCAAAATGAGAAACAACTGAGTGCACATGGCTTAAGTAAACTAACTTTTTTTGCAGAGTTCTACTATGTATGTCAGTCATTCTGCTCCATACACTGAGAAGGAAAAAAACATCCTTTCCTACTTTTCTACTAAGGGTTGCATTTTGTAATTTTTATTCCTACATTATCTCCCTTACCGCATTGCCAAAGCTACCCTCCTTATCTGGCCTCTTTGCTTTCCTCTACATCACCATCACCACATATGTGTTTCAGAAGTTCTAAAACTTTCATCTGCGCTCAGTCTGTCCATCCTCAGGCATGAGAGCCCTCAAATCTTTGTACTTCCCTTTTTTGTTTAATGGAAACACTTTTCCACTTCTAAAAGACCCTTCGTAATTCCATTCCTTGTAAACAATGCTAGCTTTAAGTCCCTGTTTGTTACTGTTAAGGAACTTCACACTTGAGTTGGTCTCATAAGACCCCCTAATCTCTTCAAACTCCACACTTGCCTATAGCAGCTGACCTAGAAATAAGAGATGCACTGAGGGGGGTAGCTGTTCATTATGTTTTAAACACTTGTGTACAGAGACAATGTCCCCATGCACAAGAGCCTGAAAGCAAGAAGAAAGTTACCAGTTTTTTGATATGCTTGACGTACAAGTACTCTTTGGAAACCAGGGATGTGACAAAAACTTGAAGTACTCTACTGTGTTTATTCCAAGGTAAACTTGGAAGTCTCTCCCCAGAGAAACGATCATTTCTGTTTGTAGTCTCTTTCCACAGAAACCATGCAGTAAGCAACTTTGAAAAATGCTTTGCTTGCACTGTGTCTGTATGGAGGGCTTACCCATAACACACGTTTTAAAACCTTAATTGAAAGCAATTGAATTTCTTACCACGGATTACAGTTCTACAAATACAAAAGATTCTGCTATGAGTATTACAAAAATAAGCTGCAACAACAAATACCTTTATACCAAAGGTATCCACAGGGGGAATTCTACCATTTTTGAGTTATTAATTTTTACTCAATTTAATTACAGCTTACGTTCTATATGTGTGCACCTAAATCTTTAAATGACATTCAGCCAGTTGTCTTTACCACAAAAAAAAAAGTGAGCTAGTCATGACTAAAAGAATCCCAACTATCAGCATGCTACACCACTGAATCCTGCAGTTTCACTTCAGAGCAAAAATCACTGAAAGATACATAGGAGTGACTTTTTAAATGCTGACTTGAAAAATTAGGTTAATTCAGCTTTACATTCAGCAGTAGTTCAGAAGTAAATACTGGAGATTTTTCAATGAGGTTCGTTTTGTTAAGTCCAGCTACATCACAAGGCAGTAACACCTTTGCAGTAACGCCAAATCAAGCATCACCAATTAAAAAAAAAATTAAATGCATAGCTAGAACAGAAAAAAAACAAACTCAAAAGACCCATGTTTTTATTCCCCCAGGAAGAGTATAAAAAGACAACAATCCAGAAAACTGCAGCAGCAGCAAAGTCAGTTAATACTCTTCAGTCATATCTGGCCTTCAATGAAATTTTTTTCATTTTCCAGTGTGTCTATAATTGCAAAACTAAGGGAATACTGCATCAATAACAGTATCTTAGCGTGATTCAATACAGAGAACATGGTAAATTATTAGATTATGTCTTTTGTGTATCAGCAATATGCAAATGTTTATAATACCATAGTATTTAATATATATTCTAACACCTACCTTCAATTCACACTGACAAAAGATTTAGGAAATGAAGGTTGATATCCGCCTGCTCAAATCTGCTCAGCTTTGGTTTACTACATACAACACACAGGATCTACCACTACTTTGGTTGCTTTCAATGTATTTTTAAAAGGTAACAGTGAGGCAAAACTGACCTTATTAACAACACAACAAAAAAATAGCTTATTTTCATTAAATAGTACAAATGTTCATCTTTTAAAACTAGCAATCTCCCTCAGACTGTTGAGGACTACTTCCTTCTCCTATCAACAGATGATGTGCAAAGGACCACTTTCTGATCAGAATAAAGCAAATTTTCCACTGTGTTAACAGCTTGGGGAAGGAGAACATATAGTGGGATAGTGTTACTACCACTTACAAAACTACAAATAATTCATTTTCTTTCACTGTTACTGTATACATCCATGCTTCAGGTCATTCTTTAACATACCCAGCTGGACTCAGGGACAATTTCAGAATGTCTTCTCTATCTTAAAAACAAGTCCAACACACAAATAAGCAAATACACTCCCCATGTAGAGCCTCATTCTCCATATGTTTTTACATGTACATAACTAAATGTAGCTCCACTGAAGCAGAAAGCATTACTGACTGTAACAAAACTAAGCAGTATTGCAAGAATATGTTGGACAAGTATCTTTGGACAGGCAAACAGGAAATACAGGACACGTCTGTGTCCTGAAGAGTAGCACAGAGCAGGAGCCTACTGGCCCTGCGTATGCATTTAATTCTGAGAATAATTTACTTTTGAATATTATCAGATATAATGAATACCTCTGTGCTAACAAAAGATGTGCTTTTATATTCCTCCACAAAATAGTATCACATCACCAGTGGTCTACAGAGTCTCTGTATTAATTCAAAGGAAAAACAAATAGGAAGTGTAAAAATGCTCAGGTACCATAAACAAGTGTGTTGTGTGCAACTACTATTTCCTAAAAGGTACTTACATACATCTTCTTTATTTTACCTTAACTATTATAACAAGTAACAACAGTGCAATAATAAATATATCTATATACAGAACAAAGAAACACTGACTTAAAGCTTTAAATTCCCCACTTCAACACTTTATAACTTCAGACGAAGTACAGTGCTGGTAAAACAGAAAACATGACTCCAAATTCAGTCAGCAACCGGAGTTTTCTAAACAGCAACTGTTACCATTTTTTATTAAAAAGAAAATCCTACTGTTTCCTTTCTCTAAGAAGAGAGGATAGAAAGTAACACCAAATTAAAAATATAAAGGATATTACTACTGTCTGTAATACCCTGTAAAAAGACAGGAGGCTGACTTTACTATGAGCAGTCTTCCCTAAGCACCTGCCAAGAAAGGCTCTAGTTAAGTACTACTTTTGATTATCATTTTCTGATTTTTAAGTTCCACACAGCAGCTAAACACAGGATTTTTTTCATTTCTTAACAGTTTTAGTCTGCAAAGTACATAGCACCACAGGACAACAAAGTTATTAGAAAAAATAATTCAGTCTCTAAAACAGCTAGTATCTATTGTTACTGAAAATTCCAGAATATTATTTCATGTTATCAAATGTTGCAGTATGTCTCAAGTGAGACTGGCAGTTTAGAAAAGAGAGAGAGGTTTACTTTATCTCTGTGGCTGTAAAAAAACCTACCATACCTGTAAAAGTAACATAATTAATAGACATTACAATGCCTGAATGACTGCTTCCAATGAAACTTGCACTGCAGTCTTCCAAGCACGATACAAAGCACATTTTGTGTAGTACTTGTCACCTGAGCAAGAATGGCTAAATTTTAATATTGATGATAAATTAGTAATTGCTTAATAAGGGTTAATTAAAGGTAACTCACCACCATCCCTCTCTCTAACTCTGTGAGTATGCACACTTTTTGCTTTACTGTGCCCTGTGTTGTCCCCATACTTGTTCTCAGGGCTATCGGAGCGCCGCAGCATCTTGTTTGGCGGTGAAGGATCCGCGGCATCGCGCATCTTGTCATGCCGGTGGTCGCCGCCGCTGGCGGGGTGACTCTTGGATGAGTACTTAAGAGCCTGTAGCAAGCACAAGAGAACAGGCATTGACATCAGATTTGGAGTTACAGAACTGATGTGAAAGAGTTATTTTTTTAAATGTTACATCTTTCCAAAACACCTTCTGAAGTTAATTAATTTTCATTTCCTATCCTTGCAATCAGCATTAGTCTTTCTAACTTTAATTACCAATATTAATGCAACAAGTGCTGTAATTAGAACTCAAACCATTTTCTCCCACTATTACACCAAACATAAGATTTGCTGTTAAGAAAAACCTAATTTCTTTTCACTGCTAGACTGCACACTTTCAGCAGTAAATAGGACACTTCTGCACTTTTGGGAGAACAAGTTTCCCTTAGTATTAAGAGTATAAACATAAAGTTACAATGAATCTGTGTAAATTTTGATTGTGCCTTCCATACTACAGTCAAGGCCACTCAGTTTCACCTCTACCTTGAACTTCTGCAAGGTTTTTTTTCACTACTAACAACCCTGTAGCAGAAGTAATAAAAAAAATTTCTAGAATTCTGGAGACCCAACACATGTAATGAGACAATTCATTTTGAAGTATTTACCAAAAATCATGTGTTCTGCCTCACTTTGACCTGCTTGAGTTTGCAGTGTGAGCTTCTAAGTGGCAAATGTTTACATTTGCATGCACTGTCACTGACAGCTGCCTTGGACTGCAAGATTATACTTCACAGTGATACATATACACAGAATTTAACAAAACAGTTCAATTCTGTGCCCCAAGGGGAGCAATCTCAAGATATACAGCATTCTACAGACTTACAACCCAGTAAGTGGGTTTTTTTTTCAGTAGATACAGCAGAGGAATACAGTATCCCCTTACAAAAATTGAGTTTATTGTCAGCAGCTTAAGTATTTGATGGTTTCTGAACATGCCTAGCAGCTGGCAACTGCAGAAATTAAGCCTTACTAGCAACCCCAGTTATTCAGGGTCTAAAACCATCCCCTGCTCAGGTTACAGTCCACAGCAGCAGTTTTGGGGAGAAGAAAGGACTCGGGGAGGGGGGTGGGGGAAGAACAAGATGCCTTTTGTTTTTAAGAGCAAAACACTCACCTCCCCCTGGATCTCCACTGCAGTACAAGTGACCCCAGCTCCCTCTCCCGCCCCTCGCACCGTACCCTCCCGGACCCGTAGGCCCAAGTCCTACACGGGTCGCACTAGGCCTCTCCTCCTCGCCCCGCTCTTGCAGGCCCCAGAAGAGCGCCAGAGCCCCGTTT